GGATCGTGGATGCGCACTACTGAGGAGTCCCACAGTAGGATGAAATGGCCGTCTAGTGTTTCCAGATTTTCCATGACAGTTTAGTTTCAATGGGCTAATGATCTCAACTATTAAAATTATAATATCCACAAAACTCTTTCAGATAATAGTCAGTTCTAAACAAAATCTAACTTGACACAAATGTGTATCAGGTTACAGTAAATGGGAAATGAGAAATGGAAAAAGAATACATGAATGATAATACTAATGAATATAATAAAGTAGAATCAATGTATTTAAGTTTTAGTGACCGATTTTGAACCATATTTAATGAAGTTCCCAAACCTTACTTGTGTTCAATATACATACAGATACTTCAACGAGGATGTCTGCACTTACTGCCAAAGTATAAACTAACAGTTTATGATTTAGTGAATTGATAGTATGTCTTCGTTAGAACAACTCTGACTTCGTTCTAACCTACTGTTGACTCAACTAGAATTCGAGCAGTAAGTTACTTACGCCTGTTACTCCTCGTGAAGGAGCATAGGCCTCTCACCAGCATTCTCCATCCAACCCTGTCCTGAGAAATCCTTTCCAGCTCTTTCCAGTTGTTATTCATCCTTTTCATATCTGATTCTATTTCCCAGTAACTACACATACATAAAACACATCTGAGACATCTCTGTTATTGAACGTTTACAATTATATTAAATGATTTTCAATCTTTGCCTGGCACCGTAATCTTCAACTCAACATTGCTCACTTGATGATTCTGCTGATTAAAAACAATACTTTGAAGATATTGATGATTCAATAGTAGTCACCTACACATATTTACTAACTTCAGGAGCAACAATCAAATGAGCTTCTTGTATTTTTGACAAAATGTTATCAGTCATCTTCTATCAAACTTGGTGAAAAACTAATGCTGATAATGTTATTCAGAAGAACAATGAAAGCTCCATGATCAAAACATTCATCTCAGAGAATAAAACTCCATGTAGACCATGTTCATTTATATCGTAGTATCATCTATTATCAACGAGCTGTTGCTGATCTCTTCTAGGACTGAAATATTTACAACTGAATAATGAGTGAGTGATAAGCAATGTCAGGTTATGCTTCTTGATAAGTGCCACTAACAAGCATGAAATCTAGTTTTAAGAGGATTCTCTTAATTGCCTCCTGTTGTGTGGGCGAGAACGATCGTGATTAGTTGTCTGCTTAGTCAGACATGTAGACAGTCTGACAGGTGTCAGATAAGTTATATATTCCCTTATCCTTTTTATTGTGACACACTCTCTCTTATATACTTCTTTATTGATTGTTCATTGTTGTGCATTGTGTTGGGTTTTTGGGTGTGAAAATATATTACGTTCTGGTCAGGCTGATTATGTGTTCTTGATCTGAGTTGTGTTGAAGTCCTGTAGGATAGACAATGGGAGGGATCTAGTGTAGATAATTGTTAAGCGTTACAACATCAGACAAAGTAATTCCGAGCGTTATAACAATCGACGACGGAACGTTATAACACCTCTAATAACCTAACATGTGATATCATACACTACGGTGTCAGGTCATTTGGCCTAGTAGTCACATATTGTAACTTCATTGATGTAATTTGATCACCACTAAGAACATTACTAACCAATACCCATCTTTGCTTATGATGTTTGTCAATTAAGGCAATATCGAGGCAATCCCCACAGGATGCACTGATCAATTTCAGTCTTAACACATCAATGGGAAGATTCAAGTAAAACAATACCAAATGAATTTAAACTTCATCCCATTGCACAAGCAAGTAACTAACAGAATTCAGTAACTAAGTGGATAACATAATGTCATTTAAAGTGAACAATAGTACTGGGTTCGAGTCCTAGAACGAAAATCAACTCCAAAATTCAGGTACATTCAGCTGATGAGTCTTAAATAGGACGAAACATGCATTATAGATTTCACTCTTAACCACTATTCATCTTTAGTTATCAAATAACATTAATTATATACATGATCATAGAGAACAAATGAAATTCAACAAGTTTACAGTGTATTTAAGGACATGGAATTATAACACAGTTCAGTGAAAAAATCGATTTTTACAACTTATATAACCTTAATCTATTTAATCTTCTTTAATACATACAGTTTAAGCTTTGTTCCATAGATTGATCAAAGCCTGTATATTTTATTGATATAAATTCATACATACACAATCTTAGTATTATCAGAAGGGGTTTTATGAAGATTTTTAGTCATTTCAATAGTTGAAATCATGAGACGAATAAAGCTAGACCACCATGGAAAACCTGAATGCACTGGACGGTCGTTTACGTCCTGGAACGAGACTCCTCAGCAATGCGCATCCACGATGCCACCCTCCCCCCCGCGAGATTTGAACCCAGAATCTATCAATGGTGAATGTGTCGCTCAATTTCGTGGATTAGTTGAAGTTAGACATTAACACTGTTGAATGCCGGCTCAGTGGTCTAGAGATGAAACATTGGTGCGCAAGACTGATACGTCCCGGGTTCGAGTCTTGCAAGGCGGGACCGTGGATGCGCACTGCTGAAAAGTCGCATACCAGGACGTAAACCGCCGTTCAATGCTCCCAGGTTTTCATGGTGGTCCAGCTTCAATCGACTCATAATTTCCATTATTGAAATGTTAGTATTGTTATTATTAATACTATTTAGTTTAGTATTATAATGTTTCCATTACATCATCATATAGATTTGATAATGAATTCTTTGTAAAGAGATTACTGTAATGAATTTCATGTTTTAAATCATTACCTGTTCCCATGTTTCTAGCGTTTATATATTACTGATTTAGTTATGCCTGTTACCCTATACAGTGGAGGTTAGGTCACCTATTACAATTTTTCATCGAACTCTATCTTAAGCAATCCTTTCTAGTTTATTCATTGTATACCTGTTATTCATTATTGTATAAATTGGGATTTCTTATTTATGATGCACATAGTCTTATATAGCTCATAGTTATATAATATACCCTTGTGGGTAAGGGTAATTTTACATTGGTTTTCAGGAGAACCAGACACCATCTAGACTTTCACGTGACAACCCAAACAGTACAGCTCAATCCTGTTTAACAGGAGAGCCAGACACTGCTCAGGATTAAATTCTATAACCCGAGCAGTACAGATCAATCCTGCTGTACAGGAGAGCCAGACACCGTATAGGCTTTGACGCTACAATCTGAATAGTACAGCTCAATCATGTGATGCAACCACACAGAAACCAAGCACCCTTGTAGACCATTTGCATCATTCATATATACATTCATGTTACATGTATAGTTATTTCGACCAATGGTCACGTGAATCTATCATGCACAGCACGAACAAGCCAAAGTTGACCTATTCTGCTTGCACAACAGTCGAGCTCATTAATGTTAGCGATGGCGACATGCCTAACAATACCCAAATGACAATGGCTCTTGAAGGCACTGAAAAGCAACCATCAGTATGAATGGGATCGGTTAACCAGAAAACCAATTTTATGCATGAACAATCAACAAAACTTGCCAAAGTAATGCCAAACCATTCACAATATGAATGGCGAACCTCCAGTTTCATATGAGACCTTCAGCTCTACATAGCCATTTAGCTTATACACATATGTAGGGTAGTAAGTGAAATAGCCCAACCTGAAGCGTTAGGGTTTAAATAACGCTTAAAACCCATTGTCTGATGTCGGAATTCCATTACTAGACCACCTAGATCATTATTATCGCATTTGCGAAATTTTCATTTTTTCGACTTCTCAGACCCTGAGTTAGGAGTAGTATGCCTTTTATATAGGTCACAGGAGTTTATATAAGACAGAACAGTACAAACTAACTCTTGGTTGCCTTTATTTTTTAAAACCTTCATTGATAGTTTGTGAATGAGAAAATTTTCTAGACGCTATGGGAGAGAACAAACCGAATCCCAATGGAGGAAAGAATCAGGAGAAAGCACTGGAAGTGAATAGGAAATACATTGAGGAATGCACTCAACTACGTTACAAGACAAGCTCTCACATGGAATCCTCAAGGTCAAACGAAAAGAGGAAGACCGAAGAACACATTACTCCGAGAAATGAAGACAGATATGAGAAGAATGAATAACAATTTGATAGAACTAGAAAAGAAGTCCCAGGACAGAATAGGGTTGGAGAATACTGGTCGGTGGCCTATGTTCCATTGGGAGTAACAGATGTAGGGTAAGTAAGTAAGTAAGTAAGTAAGTAAGTAAGTAAGTAAGTAAGTAAGTAAGTAAGTAAGTAAGTAAGTAAGTAAGTAAGTAAGTAAGTAAGTAAGTAAGTAAGTAAGTAAGTAAGTAAGTAAGTAAGTAAGTAAGTAAGTAAGTAAGTAAGTAAGTAAGTAAGTAAGTAAGTAAGTAAGTAAGTAAGTAAGTAAGTAAGTAAGTAAGTAAGTAAGTAAGTAAGTAAGTAAGTAAGTAAGTAAGTAAGTAAGTAAGTAAGTAAGTAAGTAAGTAAGTAAGTAAGTAAGTAAGTAAGTAAGTAAGTAAGTAAGTAAGTAAGTAAGTAAGTAAGTAAGTAAGTAAGTAAGTAAGTAAGTAAGTAAGTAAGTAAGTAAGTAAGTAAGTAAGTAAGTAAGTAAGTAAGTAAGTAAGTAAGTAAGTAAGTAAGTAAGTAAGTAAGTAAGTAAGTAAGTAAGTAAGTAAGTAAGTAAGTAAGTAAGTAAGTAAGTAAGTAAGTAAGTAAGTAAGTAAGTAAGTAAGTAAGTAAGTAAGTAAGTAAGTAAGTAAGTAAGTAAGTAAGTAAGTAAGTAAGTAAGTAAGTAAGTAAGTAAGTAAGTAAGTAAGTAAGTAAGTAAGTAAGTAAGTAAGTAAGTAAGTAAGTAAGTAAGTAAGTAAGTAAGTAAGTAAGTAAGTAAGTAAGTAAGTAAGTAAGTAAGTAAGTAAGTAAGTAAGTAAGTAAGTAAGTAAGTAAGTAAGTAAGTAAGTAAGTAAGTAAGTAAGTAAGTAAGTAAGTAAGTAAGTAAGTAAGTAAGTAAGTAAGTAAGTAAGTAATGAGATACACAGAAGTTGAATTTATGAAATTATTGATTTCAATATAATCTACATAGTAACAAGGTATATTCACTTTAATAAATCAAAAATCAACTTACCAATAATTCACAATTATCCTGTTCTAATCCTAATTTTCTAATAAATACCGATCGTTTAGGGACAATGAATAAAACAAACTAGAAAAAGTAATTTGATATCAAAAAAAAAGGAAGAATGAAGAAGATACTGTAATTAGTAATTGTGTACTGTATTTATTTATTTATTTATTTTAACACATAAATATCGGTACAAGAAGGCACCAAATACATATGCGCCACACATATCTCATTTGATATGTGTGAGGGCTGTGATACTGCCCGGGCGCCCAAACCGAAGCAGGTGGTTTTCTTAGGGAGCCACACCCCGAGCCTTCGACCTGAAGATCTGATCCACAAGGCAGTGTAGCATCGTGAGGAGATGCAGTCCCATGGTAGCCAGCCAGTGACCAACGATTGGTTCATACGCCATTTGTTCCTTCAGGATACTGGAGACCATGTGCATTATTGGTTTGGGATCTGGTTAAAGCGCCGGACATTCGCTTTTCGTCCTCTCATTTCTGTAAACAACACCCTCGCCACGAGAAGGCAGTGAGTAGGACTTCCCTGGCAGGGGCTGTATACGCGTGGCCATATGAGAGCATTTCGAGAGGGGGAGCGGACTCTTTCCACTCTCGGCCATACCAGGGCATTTGGGGGCTGTGTACTGTATACTACAAACAGACTTGTAATAGACTTCGTAGGAATTCTAGTGTAGAATATGTAACCAATCAAGTCAATCATGTTAGAAATACGATAGTAACTAAGCAATTATGATGAATTTGAATTGTATTATATCATAGCTGAGAAATGTAAGCCACTAAGTTTTAACTGGCTAAATCCATTAATCGTATTCATGACCTTAAAGTCCTGGATTTGACATCATAGAAAATCATAGTGAACTACTATGGAAGGATTTTGAACTAGAACGGAATATCTTATCTAGAACCTTCTAGTCTTTAGTTGATTTATTCATTGATATCAGTAGGCTTGTGGATTTCAAATACGAAGTCGTTAACCTCATTCCTATAATCAACGAAGTTATGAGCTTCATCGTATACACACGAGTGTAATTAGTTTAAAGAGAGGGTTATTGTTCACCTCTCGTTTCTTCTTATTTTTTTCTCAGATCATTCAGGGAAACCTGTTGTGTACCCTGTATGCATACCTATACACATAAATTATTGAAATTGAGACTCATACATTTCATGCATATAGTCATGCACAATACGGCCTTTTCCAATTTTAGTATCTGGAAGTTATACCATCAAGTCATCCAAGATACAGTAGACTGATGGATTAGTCAAATCTTTGTTGATCCTCTAAGCTAGCTAATGAGATTATCTTCATTACCGGGCATCGCCACGAAAAGACCCTCAGGTAGAGTCTTCCTACTTCGCTAATTTATTTTTTAATGATCGACTGTTCATTTTAGATGTTTACAACTGATTAGTTGTGTTTTTTTTTGTTATCTAAAGATTAATAGTTGAAATTATGAATCAATTGAAGCTAGACTACCATAGAAAACTTGGAAACACTATCTGACGGCCGTTTCGCCTTAATATGGGACACCTCAGTAGTGCACATCAACAATCCCCCCCCCGCGAGGTTCGAATCCCCGACCTGTCATTTTCGCACGCGAGCGCTTACAACACAAACACCATGAGATTATTTCTTTGGAAACAAACAAACACACACACACAAACAATCACACACACACACAATAAACTACATATTATACTTACACGAAATGCATGACGCATTAATTTATTATGATATTTTGTTAATGTTTCATCATAAGCTCTTGTAATTATATCACGTATTAATTCATTATTATTAGATTGAGAAAAATAATTTAAAAAACAAATGAGAAATTGTAATGTACGCTTTAACCATAATAAACCAATAGATCCAGAAGAATCATCACGATTCAATTCATTAGATAATAAATCATATAATGTATTCACATGTAGATTGGTAGATGCACGGGATACTTTCTATACAATAGAATATATAGATATACATATATAGAGAGAGAGAGGGAGGGAGGGAGAGAGGGAGAGGGAGAGGGAAAGAAAGAATACACATGAAAATAGGATATGGGAATAGTAGTTTAAAAGGTAAAACTATTAAATCATGAATAGATTCAATTAATATTGATCATTGTGTTTTTAGGACTGTTCTATACAATGTATACACCTAGTAACCAAGATGAAAATTGGATATTTTGATATAATAGTAATGTATTAAGTAAACTAACAAATGATACAATAGAACAATATTCATTACCTAACTTATCATATTGTTGACACTTTAGAGATCTGACAACTTCTTCATTGTAAAACTTTACGAAATCTATAATAGGGTACTAGTATAATACTCAAAGATATCATGTGTTTGAAAATCTTGTGAAATGATAGTTGTATAATATTGAAGAATACAAAATGAAGATAATGGAACCAAATCCATGAAGTCATTGGACAAGTGGATTGAGTCATGTTGGTAGGTGTAGACTACCTGGTTGGGAACCGCGAGACGATAGCAACCGATGGTTAGAGAACTTGAATGATATGGCTCAAAATCGTTTGCAATGGTGCAGGTGTACATCCACTCTTTGTGTTCTCTCAAACTCTAATCTTCTGAATTCTTTATGTCCTTTATTTTCTTTCCAAATCTATTCCACTGGACTATACTCCTTAAATAACATCATCAAACCATAATGTTCCCTATCACTACTTATACTTTTAGTACCTCTACCACTATGGGATTTGAATCGATAACTGAATCTCTGTGCTAATGTGATATGGCAAGTCGAACTGATGTACGTACGTGCGAAGTTCCACGTTGTTACTGACTGACTGACTGAATCAATACGGATCACTCTAATAAAGGGTGACTATCCATAGGGTATATTTTAATAAAGGTAATCATTAGAAAAAGGGAATAACATTCTGAACGGTATGAAATATCACTACAAATACTTAATCGTAATTAAGTCTGTGACTTATATATTTTCGGTTACTTGAAATTGTCTAATTGTTGGGGTGATCCAGAAAACTTCTCACAAAAGACAAGCAAGGATCAGGAAAACATGAAGAAGCATTTTATCCAATCAGCGTTCACCTGGAGTTTAACCAGAAACATCGAGAAAGTAAAAAGTCATATGTAGAGTTTCTGTTTCACTGATTACTATACTGTTACTATGTTTCGGGGCATTCCAGGATCTTCAGGAAACCCTAGGACATCTAAAATACTATAAAAACTATATATTTTCTGAATTAAAATGAACCTTTGAAGTAGTAAAGTACTTCTCGCATACTTTGCACCTTTTCTTTCGTGTTCAGGTCGCTGTGTCAGTTCTAGCTTGAGGGTTACAAGAAGAATAGCTTAGGAAGCGAATATAGTGTTCAATTAGCAAAACTTATCACTAACAAACACTTGATTTGTATGTGGGCTATGATACTGCCCGGGGTGCCCAGACCAAAGCAGGTGATTTTCTTAAGAGGTCACACTCGGAACCTTTAACCTAAAGGTCTGATCCGCAAGGTAGTGGAGCAATGTCAAGAGTTGCAGTCCCATGGTAGCCGGTGACCAATAATTGGTTCATACGCCATTTGTTCCCTCGGGATCCTGGAGTTTATGTGCACCTTGGTTTTGAATCAGGTTTTTTCGACTCCTTTAGGTCTATCCAACATATTCACTAACCTAGTTAAAGCGCCGGACATTCGCTTTTCATCCTCTTAATTCCGTATACGCGTGGCTATGTGAGAGCGCTTCGAAAGCGAGAGCTGACCCTCCTCACCCCCCGGCAGTTCCAGGGCATTTGGGGGCAATTATGAAAACGTTTGATAAAAACTCTTTAGATTAAACATTATTACAGTTTACCATTTTCATATTAACTATTCATTACTTAGTTTGTCAAGATTTTGAATATAGTGAATTGAATAAACCTATCAACATGTATCTAACTGTGACAGGTGAATAACAAAAGATCTATTACAATCATATTTGATACTGTAAACAATGTCAGACTTAATAGTAGAATTCATGAGTCAATTGAAGTTAGATCACTATGGAAAGCCTAGAAGCACTGTTTGACGGCCGTTTCGTCCTAGTATGGAACTCCTCAGCAGTACGTATCTACGATCCCGACTCTCGAGATTCGAACCCAGGACCTATCGGTCTCGCTCCAGAACGCTAAAACTCTATTACATCATATTTGTTTACAATATTGAAGGGAGACAATTACATATTGTGAACTTATTGAAACGGCAAATTAAAGCCGTTGGGTACCAGTTAGTGCTCTAAAGGTTAAGGACTTACATACAAAACTAAAGGTGATGGGTTTGGCTGACGGACGAGAATCCCTGGATGCACACTTTTGAGGAGTCCCATTCTAGGATGAAACAATCGTTTAACGCCTAAAAATTTTCAATGGTGTAACTAAGATCAGTCCATGAGTTAAACTATGTATAACCCAAAGATTATTTCACATAATCTATCCAATAAAAATAGGAACTGAGCTATCAAGATTGTTAGCTACGAACATAACTAAACAAGTAACCAATTGGATTTAGTTAAACGCTTAAAGCTTCCTTCTAATGTTTCATTTTGATATGGCGAGTGATAACTTGATGAGTTGAAGTGAGAATCGTTTACAACATGCGTTGACATCTTGAGGAGGATTATAGATGCCTAACTATTCTATATGGACCAAGTTAATTCATTCTGGTTGCCGTGTTATTTACTGGTTGCTTTTTTCATTTGTCTTTGAATTCCTGTTGACTGTTTAGTTTACCTGACCTTTGATCACGTGATTGACTGAATTATTCTGTGCTAGCAAATTGATTGAATCTATTTCGATTGCTTTTTTACTGAATGCTAATTGATTTGAACGTCATGCTTTGAGAGTCGCCCTAGGATTTTCATAATCCTGTAAATCCAAAATTTCCACGTTTTTTTTTCAATCAAATAATGAAAATAAATAATATTACTATACAATATTTGTGGTCAATCAGTCAGTCAGTGGAGGTACCCGAAAACAAAATTGGATTAGAAGTAGTCTCAGTAAACTGAGAGCGTGATCGCAGTGCCCAAGGAACAACTGCTTGAGATCGGTCACACATGATCTTTTATGGGTAATTTTTATGTTAGCTCCGTACTTGTTGAGACCTTATCGCCGGAGATGGATATCCGTGGGATAAGACGGGGTGTGCATTTTTACGGTTGACCTTTTCCGACCCCACCCCTCCTTGTGGGAAGGCAGCATCGCTGTCATGTTGGTTGTCTTTAGGAAACAACTTACTGTTGTCAAACCTCTGTACAGTCAACAGTACGACTTCACCTTCGTACTTTGGGTTTGTTGCTTTTAGTCTTAACGCTCTTCAACCAACCTGCATGACTGACATGGTAGGACCTTGAGGAAGGGTTGTTCCAACCAGTACAGCTCAGTGGCTTCATCACGATAAGCAAGCCCGACCACCACGTCAAAGTAGCAACAACGGTCGGGCAATCTTTATAGTATTAAGTGGTTTGTATCCATGCAACGCTATTACTTGAATTCCAGAAGTTGGAATAATGGTCAGGAGAGTAAGGTGAGACATCGAGCAGTGACTTAAATCGTTTTGAGTGAAAACGATACAATAAATTGATTTTTCCCAACCGTCTGTGGCATATAGTTACATCGTCAGAAGATGTAATTATATAATTTAGTCAGTTAGTTATAGATGCTTAGTTGTACGATATAGTAACTATGTGTTCACATAGTTAATTATTGAATAATTGATGTTAAATGTTACTCAGTTCAAACTAATAAAATTCGACTACTGATCTGGCTGTAAGTAAATCAAATGAAAGGTCATATATTAATACATCATTTGGATTTATTCCCTTGTCAAATAAATCCATATCAGTATTCTTTGTAAGTTAACTATAACTCTTCAGATTTTGAGTCTTTAGCATCAAAACAAATCAGTTAACCATGTTGCAAACACAACAGCAATATGAATTGTTTCTTGGTATTAATAAAAGCTTAAATCTATCATGAAACAAAAACAATTTATGCATTGGAATTAATGATTTTTTCGAAACTTACTTTAATATTCCCTTCCACATCACTTCGTAATAATGCAAATTTTGAATCCCATAAGCCTGATTGATAAAAAAAATATTAATTTACAATCAACAACACAAAGCATAACATGTATACTTACCGAAAAAATCACAAATCATTTTGGATAATTGTAGAAATGTTTGTATATCAAGATTTTTTTCATCTTTAAATATTGGGATATTAGAAAAGAATGTAATCATTGTAATCCGTTTGTTGTTTATTGTGTACAAATAAAATAAACTATGAGTTAATGTTGCAATCAGTTAGATAAACAAGAAGATAAAACTCTGGAAGGAAGACAACCAAAAGAACAATAAGAATTGACAACTCATTTACATAAAAACAATAATAATGTCATTTAATAAGTACATGGTTTGAAACATACTAGTTACGTGTAAAGCTTAGTAATAATCTTATCCATCAGTATAGACAGAAGTTGGTTAGGTAAAGTTTTTAAGATCCAAAAAACTGAATAAAATTTGAGTAATTTAGCCATCAGACTACATCTTCAGTGAACTTTTTAACATTCATAAAGATGTATACAATATCAACAATTAAGGTTGATCAGTTAAATGAGATGTTAACAGTTGATTTAATGTACTGAGAATAATCTCGTATAGGTTGCACCGCTGAAATGTGGATGCACAACTTAGCTTGAAACAAAGTTTAGTTTCAAACGAACTCTGATGAAATATCACTATCTATAAGTTCAAACTATCAACCTTTAACTATCTTAGACTCGAATATGGCTCATCGCTCATGTGTTGTTTTAATGATGCGAGTTTGAAATGGCAAAGCTAAAACCAACATATGTTGTTACAAATTTTCAAATGATGATAAACTTAATGTATCATAAATATTTAAAAGAAATGGAATTGTTAAATCAGTATCTCTGGTCCGTGATCCATCTGTTCTTACAGACATCAAGGACATATTTTGGCATGAAAAAACAGGAACTGTAGTGGCTGTAAAATTAAACTTTGCCTCTTTAATCAGGATGTTACTTTTTTGATCGGAAACGATGTATTACCAGAAAATATCATAGCCTATAGCCAACCTCAGAGCATTCATGATCGCTTAAGAAGCCAGTGTGAAACTCTTACCATGAAAATTATTTCAACAACTTCATCATACCATACACACTTAGTATGCTGTAATGTAGCAAAAAATTAATAATAATGAGTAACCGTTATACATCCAGCTTCGTGTCACTGAATTCCACTACTTCAACTTCCACTGACAATGGCTTATTGCACTATGACAAATGCTCCAACTATGTGGTGGTCCGTGACTAGACAAAAGGTAGTTCGTGTACTAAAGGTGCATGTGGAGTAGCTTGGGTGAAATGGGATGAGAAAAATAGGAGCGAAAGAAAAGGTGAGTCAACAACTCAGTAAGCGTACACGATGCACTTGATTTTATTAAGGAAACAAATAAACGAATATCAGAAATAATACAAGCCTCGGATTATGATAGTCTTTGAATCGAAAGAAGAGGAATATAGTTTTATGCACTACGACTGTAAGTTTTAAAACGTTCTCGTCTCTAAAAGTCCAGAATACATATGACATTCGTACGTTAAATTATATTTGTCACACTGGCGAAAGCTAACCCCGGGAGAAACAGTACGAAACACTATAAGTGTGGTTGACTGGAAGAATGATGTGTCAAACAAACTTGAATAAATGCATCGATTACGGGAAATGTTTTAGGAATAATGCAAACAAACCTTGAGAGCAGCGGTCAAACTAACATGACCTTGCAAGCATTACAATAATCAATGCTGTGAGATAAAACAACTCTCAACCGCCAATTTCTTACGTTTTTTGTAGTCACAAGATAACCGTGGCTATTATCTTACTAGTGACTTTAACGAAAAGCTGATCGTGGATTATACACAATTGTTGGTTGAAACACTGGTCTAGAAGTTGGAAGTTTCCAAATCAGCTCGAAGTTACTCGGTTCGATGTTCGATAGGATCGTGGGTACATCATTCTCAGGATTTCTGTGAATGAACAAAATAATCACTCGGTGCTTCCTTGTTTGCAGTGGTGGTCTGGCTAGCACTGCTTCATGGGGTAAATTGAGTAAGTTCCTTTTTGGTGGAGTGAGTGACTTGCTTAGTGAGAAGACGTAGGAGTCACCGAACTTTTGTAAGCGATAATACAAGTATCATTAGGGTATCGTTATCTCCATCGAAGAGCAAAGTATCGTTTTGAAAATGTAGGAAGTCATTTCTCAAACTGAGTACAGATACTGAAGGGACTGAATAAGTTTGCGGCAAACATATCTTATATATCTTATCGTTCTCGATATATTTCTACTTTCGCAAAACCTCTGTATTAATTCAAAAGTATTAAAGTGTTGTTAACTATCTAAGTTACCTACATAAGCCCATCACTCCTCATGGAGGAGCTTAGACTACCCACCATCCTTCACCAACTCCGTACTAGACATTACTTTCCAATTCTTTCCATATGTTATTTATTCCTTTCATGTCTGATACCGGTTCCCAATGTAAGTTGTCATTTAGTCATCCTCGTTTTCACTTCTCTTCAAGGTTCCAAGTTATTGATTGCCTTGTGGTGCAGTGTGATGATTTCTGAAGTGTATGACCTATTCACTTTTAACGTCTTTTTCTAATTTCCACATCAGCTCGAAGCTGGATTGTTCTCTCCCACAGTATGATGTTGCTGTCCATTTTATTCGTACTTCTCCTCAGATATCGACGTCTTCGTAGTCCAGTAGACCACCAGAGGAAAGAGAAAGAGGAGAGTATGCATCCTTGTCTGACTAAGGTCCTCAATTGGAATACATCTGTCAGCTGAGCTCCATACACCACTTTGTAGTGTAGTCCGTCATATGAATTCCGGATGATGTTGGCGATCTCAGGTACACCAGTGTCGAGGAAGTTTCCATAGGTTCCTCCTATCCACACTATCAAACATCTTCTCACAGTCAAAAAAGTTGATGTATGGTGACGAGTTCCATTCAACCGATTGTTCAACGATGATCGGTAATGTCGCGATTTGGTCTGTGCACGACCGATCCTTACGCAATCCAACCTGTTAATCTTGAAGTTGAGAGTCTACTGAATCTTTCATTTGATTCAGAAATACTCTTTTAGAAAGTTTTCCTGGTACCCATAGTAGTGTGATGCCTCCGTTGCTGAGTTCTTACACTTGCTCAGATTTCCTTTCTTTAGTATCTTAATGGGGTTTCCTTCTTTCTAGTCCATCAGCACTTGTTCTTCCTCCCAAATCTTCCTGAATAGAATGTGAAGTATCTTAGGAGTTACTTTTATGTCTGACTTTAGTGCTTCAGCTGGTATATTATCATGTCCTGCTGCTTTCTCACTCTTGATTTATCTAATGACAATTCTGATTTCTTCGATCGTTGGTGGAATAACATGCATAGGATCGTCTGCAGGTGCTTCTTTGATGTTCGATGGATTCAGTGTGGCTGGCCTATTCAAGAGTTCCTCGAAGTGTTCCAACGACCTGCTCCTCTGTTCCCGAATCTCAGTGATTATCTTTCCTTCTTTCTCCGTGATCTGTTTTTCCGATTTATTATGTTCCTCTGACAGTCTCTTTGTTTTGTCATCTAGTTGTCTCAATTTCCTCTCACTCGCAGCTTATTCTGCTGTCGTTGCTGGATTTTACGGGTGTTTTCGGTTGTCTGTTTCAATGCTCTTCTTCACTCGCTTGTTTTTCTTCTGTGTATTCAGTTTGCGCTTTGACTATCTTTGTTCTTGTTCGGCTGTTGTTAATTGCTGTCTCGTTCTTCATTTCTTGAATCTAATGCGGGTTTTCCATAGAGATTCATTTCTTATGATGGTGCTTTTTGTGGTCCAGCACCTTCTGACACGTTAAGGTTAGTGCTTCTTTAATCTCTTTGCAGTTGTCCTCCATTATATTTCCTCCTTTTTTGAGTAGATCTTGTAAGGCTTGTGGGCTGTTTTTCAGAGATATCTTGATTCCTTTGAGTTTGTCAGCATGTCAAAGGAACCTTTGTAACACTGTTTGTCCAGTTGATCAGTGTTTCTTTAGCTTTATTTTCATTTTGAAGACCGCCTAGTGGTGATCCAAAACTCCGTCAGTTCCTTTACTGGTTCTCACGTCTTCCATTGTCCTTCCGAATTTTTAGAGCTGCAAATATGATCGGTCTAGTTCTGTGTGATGTGGTCCGGTGATACATATGTGGCTTTGTTTATGCGTTTCTGAAAGAAAATTGTGCCGCCTATAAACATTTTGTGGAATGCAGATAAATTTGAAAATCTGTCATCATCTTCGTTCCTTTATTTCAGTCCATGTCGTCCCGTGATAACTTTATGTCTGGTGATGTCCATCCCGATTTCGGCCTTCAGATCATCCATCATCATGGTCAGATCCTTCCTCTATGATCGATTGCAGCCTCTCATGAAACTGGTCTTTGTCGTCGTCGTTCCTGCGATTGGAGGGGGGTGCACAAAATTGGATAACATTCATCGTGACTCCCTCCTTTGTTTTGAAGGATGCTTTGATGATCCTAGATCCCTGAGATTTCCATCCTCTAAGTGCGTTGTGTGCTTCTTTAGACAGCATCAGAGAAACTCCATGAGTATGCGAAGTATTTTCTTCTTCACGATCAAAGTACAACAGCATCTCTCCTATACCTAACTTTTTCTGTACAGCTTGAGTTCACTGGGTCTCCCTTTTTCAGGGACCGCCAATATGTATTTCCTCATATCCGCAGCTAGTTAATTGGTCCTCCAGGTGTCTCACCTTTTCCGAACATTCTAATTACCTATATTAGTTGTTGTCCTGGTTGTAAGCAGAGTCATCAGACTCGTGACTCAAAAGATTCCGGTTATCACCATGAGGTGTCATAATTCTTCTGCAAGAAGATCCTCCAAGTTGCAAGCTAGATTTCAAGTGGTTTAATTTGTCTATTCTGGTTAACGTATCTCTAGTAAAGCTGGTATCCGCGGGATGGTGTTACCAACCCCACTCCGTGAGAGACCGTCCTTCTTTATCCCGGTTTAGGACCGGCAGTAACCTTAGAAGAGCTACAGGCGGAGTCGTCGTTCACTAAGGAATGAATATATTCGAAAGCAATTAGATGCATTCTAAATTGTGCGCGTGAAATGTAGCACTTTGAAGTAGAGAATATTCTTAAATTACTTGTATTCGATTATAGATGTCCTGAAACCATTGAGAATATATGTTGGAAATATCGAGTCAGTAATTCTGAATTTGGACGCAAGGTACAAACTAAAGTTGGCAGACCAATCGTTAAGGTGGGGGATATCCACCAAATGAGGAGGCTTGGGTATGTGTTGGTTGTCCCAATCCACTGAATACCTCTACAGGTGATGTCTCGTGTAGAAAAAGATTGGAATCTAAGTGGTTAAACCAAAACATAGTATCAACTTATGAAGGCTCCGAATGTTAGACTGAGCACCAGCCTACAAGGTTAGTGTAGATTAAGAGAATGAAGTAGGTGCGATTATGGTAACTGGTTGCAATAAGCCTGGGAGTAAAATGTCTCAGAATCGTTCGTTAGGAATCGCGTAAATGTACTCACTTTTCATTTTCATTTAGACCCTGAGTTCTGAAATCTCCTGATACTTTTACCTGATTCTCTTTGTTACTGCTAATAACACTGTTACTCTTACTAATTTTGGGCTTATTTGAAATAGTTTTATTACTCTGTGCTTATGTGGCATTACAAATTAAAATGTTTCACATATGTCCGATTTTACGTCGGATATGGATAACTATTTGACTAACTTATGCAGCTGGTCGAGAAAAAAGCCGTTAGCTTTGGTCATAGTTACATATTTTCCTCTACTGTTCAATTTTGTTTGCCAACGGAGGACCTTTTGAAGTACCTGTATGCTTATCCTTCATCAAAAAATGGGATGATCTTTTATTCATTATTATGGCATCTATTTTTTTCGAAATTTATAATGTTTTATATCGCTCTTAATGATCAAGAAAAGTTAGTCGACATATGCTAACATCAAAGCCAAGAAATAAATATTGATTTATGCATTATATTGACCCTGATTTTATCTCAGTTCATTGGAGGTTGACAACACCAACACCCATATGTCTTCAGAACATGTACCACCCAATGTGCATAGCTATTCCAGCCATCTCACTTGTCTAGGTAGCTGTGGTTTAACTAGTCCATCAACTTGGAATCCGTTAGCAACTGTCTCATTAGTGGTTTGCTGGACGATTGCCCATAGTAAATATATGAAACGTGTGATCGGAAAACTGGGTGAAGATGAAAATTACACAATTCAGCACAAAGAAATTCGTCTTCAAAGCGGTACTATTTTTACAAAATATATTTACAAACCTGAATATGGAAGGTATCTGCAACTTACATACACACCAACATATATAACTGAAGTAAAACTGCCACCTGTTATAGTTATCTACAGACTGTTTACAAATATACTTCAATTGAAATAACAGATAATAGTTGTGTCCGAATTCATATTGATTGTGATTACTGAAATCGAAGATTGAGAATACAAAGTAGAAATATGTACACTTAAATAAAGTACATATGGAAGTTGGAAATACTTATTAAAGTATCGACCAATATATCTGGAGCCCTTTGAGGTTCATGGACAGCCTCAAGCCCTGACAAGGGAGAAACGCTGGGTATAGGGTTATATAATAATTGAAATTATTAGAATTTATGTGTTAACTAAGAAGTCACGAGATAGTTGTGATACCTAGAGGTATTTGAATTATTATACAA